CAGGAATGATTTTGGAATTCAGAGTGTAGCATGAATAGGTATTTGTCCTATGCTTGATCTAACTACTTCTATATTGGATCTCTTTCAAAAGCTAATGATATGATAAGTTGTGTTCATTTTTATCACTTTATTGCTGTATGGACCATCTTATTCTGTATACACCTTGGCAATTTTGTGACAAGACTTAATCAAAAGATTGCCAACAAGAATATAGCCAGATCAGATCACAAAAGTGCTCTTCCTTAGCTAACGGCTATTTGCATGCCTAGTGGACAGTGGGGAGGCAACACTCTTAGGTGTCAATAGCCAATTCCATTCCAAAGAGAAGAGCAATCCTCAGAGAAACACAGATGCCCAAGTACACAGAAAAGTGGATGATCAAAACAGGGAAGCAACCAGTTTCTGGGATGGGCACTCAAAAATAGTGTGTATATTGATCAGCCAGGAATGAGAAGTATTAACCCACTGTTTCTCAGCCTTTTAGACTTAAGGCATCCCTTGTTAAACATAAGGCACCCGTCTCAAGATGCCAGCTCTTAGCTTTCATTCATCTTTTGACTATGGAAAAATAATAGAGTGATCCCTCTGTTGCCAAGAACTCCGACTATAACAAAATGGAATGTTTTTAATACTATGAATTCCTATTTGAAATCCCTGTTTATCTTGTGAATCATGTGCACACCCAATAGAGCCAATATTTCACAGAACTCTGTGGCACCCTGGTTAAGAATTGCTGTATTAGCCTCCTGAAAAAGCAAGTATATTCCAGGGAAAAAAAACCATGGTCAGAGGAACTCCAATCCCCTCAGGCAAGAAGAAATGTTCTGGAGAACTTTCTTGCCCCTGGGAAAAGAGATAGAACAGTAAAGATTGGTGGGGGAGAATGAGGTGGCAGGTGGGCTTTAATGTACTTAGGAGGTATCCAATGGGTCCTCAGAATCCCCACAGCTTGGGGTAAATCCAGGTCCTCAGCTGTCAGAGCTGGTAGAGACAGTGGGAAGGCTAGTCTTAGGCATCAGTGACAAAACTCCAAAGGATTGTAAATAGTCAGGAACAAAGGGAAGAATTTTGCAATTTTTGTCTTCAAACTCTAGGAGTACTTTTTCTTGTATAATTTCTTTTTCCTATACAATAATCTTTTTGATATTTTGTTCCTGTAACAGGATTGGGCCCTTGGAGCTGCTGTGATACCCTTTGGTGGCCGTACAGCTCCTGCTTAGCTTGATCTTGAAGATACCCTCCCTTGGTTCCTCATCTGCCGTGCCTTGTTTTTATTAAGAGACTAGCAAATTGCCTGTCAAGCATGATGAGGGGCAGGGACAGAAGTCTGCATTGCTGCCCCCCTGCCTGGGGCTAGGGCCATTCCCCCACCCACCCACCCATTGGGTGGGGGTCTGACTTCCCCCTCTTCTTCCCCACCCCACGCTGCTTTAGGTTTGGGCCCACTCCCCTCCTCCCTCCCATTGTTTCGGGTCTTGTTCTCCCCATCCCCTTCTGCTGCGTTGGGT